GCTGCTTCAGTCCTTCTCCTGTCCTGGTTTCACCCAGCTAGACCACAACTGCGCCAGTGCCAGAGAACTTAAAAGACAGTCTCCAAAAACCTTAGAAGCAACTTACCCCATTATGCTGCAACGAGGGGGACTCTCTTCAGAGGGAAGAGTACCAGGCCATTTCTCCCACTCATTGCTTTCCCTTGAAACTTCCCCTGCACTGTGGTATTCCAGACTTGTGTTTGTGAGATAAACACTGGGTGGAGATGGGGGTGGGAAATCGAATTTTTGGGGGAGGAATTGATCCTCTCCATCTTTTCACCCCCTTTCAAGACCACATTGCCAGGAAGAAGGTGTCTTTGGGGATTTGTTAGACACACTGACAGTGCAACGCCCGGTCTGCCTTGTACTAAAACGGAGAGAACAAGGGTGCATTCGTTGTACTATTAAGACTATTCCTTTAAAAAAGGGGGAACTGTCACCCTCTGCTTTTGTGGCTGGAGGGTGCCTCCCCTACCCCCAATATGGCAGCCCAGCCGATGAGACAATTCAGTAGTCTCTTTCACAGAAGCTTCCTTAGCTATACTTTGTCCACTCATCCTCCAGATCACGCGCCTGCACGCCCTTTCCCCAGCAGTGCTGCTGAGCAATGGGTGCAGCAGAGATTGCCACTGACAGCTACCAGGAATGCTGCTGCTGTGTGCACCATCCACACACCCTTCCCCTGGAGTGCTAGGCAGCATATGCAGCCAGGATCATGGGTGAAAAGGCACAGGCAGGCTAGGGAAGGGCATGAGTGTGGGCATCAGAGGAGATGTATGGGTGGGGACTCAGCAGCAGTGAGCCCCACCCGAAGTCCTGGGCCCTGGCAGCTGTCCCACCTGAAGGTATGCTGATGCCAGCCCTGCTTTTGCTTATGCAGCACGAACAAAGGCTACAGATGTAGGTGGCAGGTGTTTCTCAGCCCTACAGTCTAAGGGTGTCAAACATGCGGCCTGGGGGCCGGAAGCAGTCAGTGAGCCCCACCCGAAGTCCTGGGCCCTGGCAGCTGTCCCACCTGAAGGTATGCTGATGCCAGCCCTGCTTTTGCTTATGCAGCACGAACAAAGGCTACAGATGTAGGTGGCAGGTGTTTCTCAGCCCTACAGTCTAAGGGTGTCAAACATGCGGCCTGGGGGCC